ATTTGTTTGTATTTTTATTTTTGATCGGTAATTATTGACCATTTCTTTATATGAAATTGTGAATGACTTCTGTTGTTCTCTTCTAAATCTATTATTTTTGGCTTTCTCTTATTGTAATGCTTAACTTGTATGATTAGGTGGATGAGGCTGCTTTTGAGACAAATGAAGAGAGAGTTTTATGGAGCACATTTTTGGCAGTTGAAAAGAGTATCAATCCTGGTATTTTTCATTTGTCAAGCTTTTTTGTGTACCGTTGGTATTAGATAATATCACTTCCTTTTATATTTAGGGAATATATTTTACTTCTTTAACCTGGTTTTTTCTTTAAAATATAATTCATTTCTTTTTACATGGAACAGTGGATTTCTTTTTCATTTTCCTTGTTTATTATGATATTGAAATGTTCTATGTACAGGTCTTGACATCAACGATTTTGTTGAAATTTCATCTCAGCTAATACAGCCGCTTGAGGATTTCTTTAACAATGTCTTCGTAATGGTGGTACGTTAATCTTACTGCTCTCATATTTATATATTGTATGTTCATAGATTTGTTCTGACTGAGTCTGAATACAAGTACTTTCGAATTAGTGTTCCATGGGATTTGTCGAATAGGATTGGTTACAAGCCTTGCCTATAAAACAATTTCAACGATACAATTGACTCAGAATCACTGGTCTTTTAAAGAGGACTTGATATTGTAGCGCTCTTTTCTCCTAATGTGTAGTCTTATAAGGGATTCTTGGTTATAAAATTATGATTTTCTTCATACCATTTGGTTGTATGTTTGACTTGAACGTTTGTCTTATATATTATTTGCTGTTTGAGTTTGACAACCATAATAGGAATATTTAACGGGGAAAAAGTACTCTAATTTTCTTTCTGGTGTATTATAGGATGATGACAAGATCAGAGTAAACAGGTTGACTCTGCTAAAAGGAATTGCCGAACTTCCTAGAGGAATAGCAGACCTTTCTGTTCTACCAGGATTTTAAGGATTCATTTGCAGATTATTTATTTCCCATAGGATAACCCTTTCTTTTTTTGTGGCTCCAAAGGACTTGAGCAATTAGGCCGGTACTTTATCTTTTTCCCCACTTTTTTTATTATGGGATATCAAATTTTGCTGTCTTGGTTTAGTAAGAGTTTCCATCTATAGCGATTTATTTTCCTCTGGCCTAGTTGAATCTGTAAATTTCTTTAGCAGTGTATTATAGGATTCATTTGTAATATTCTTCATGCATCTTATTAAACTTAGTTTAAGCCTTTTTTTTTTAAGTTACTTGTTACGATATCTATAAACTACATCTATAAAATTAAGATATTTTATACTTTTTTTATATTAATAGTTATAATTTTTCTAATATCTTAAAATAAAAAGACATTTATATTTTTTTAAAATAGATCGTTAACTTCCACTATTTATTATATTTATTTAATATAAAATTAATGGTCATAATTACTCCGTATGTAAGATGGCATAGAAAATCTTTTTAGTTTACAAAACACAGTAAAAATTACTTTTTTTTAATCATTAAAAAATATCTTTTCAAAATTTTCTTTTGCATTTCAATGTCATTAAAAGATCTAATATGTCATGAAAATGTGTGGGCAAACTTGTAATATTTTTAAAGCATTTGTAACTTCTTTTCCCTTTCATTACGCTATTTCTTGGTGAGTTTTTCTACCATCAAAGTTCAAGTTAAATACAAAAGAAACACGAGACCCCTTGATATTCAAGAACAAACACAAAAACGAATGCATGACATGACTTCCTTTAATATCTTCAGTGATTCTACTTTCATGTCTACACATCTTAAAGCCTATGCAACCATTACTGGTGTCCAAGTCATGTCCATGCCAAACAACCCTTGTTTCACCAAACTACATAGCAATAGCATAAGGAACAAGAAACAAGTGTGTTTTGGCATTAGGATGAATTGGAAGATCATGTTTGTTATTTTGTTATGCAGCATCCAAACAAGTATTGTAGCAGCAAGCCTAAGATTGATGATTACCATTGAAAATGAATGTTATGATGCTCCTCCACAATTATACCAAAGTGCATTGCACCCATATTTATCTTTAAACTTCTTTTATATTAAATTTAAAATGTTATAAATTAAATTCATTATGATTTAACAAATTAGAAATTGCAAGGCTTTTGGGTTAAAAATATCATTTCAGACAGCAAACTTTTATTTATTTTTAATGTGATACATTAATTATTTTGCAAATTTCAAGAGACACATGAGAAATATATGAATATACAAAACAGAGAAGCACACTGTTATTTTCATTTCTTAATATTTAATAAATTGTAAAATATCTTTTATTTGTTGGTACACATTATAAGAAACTCAAAAGATATTTCATCACTCATCAATTATATGAAATAGCCAAATATTCAAACCAATGATATATTAATGGAAGACTACATATACAATAAACAGTGATATATACATACATTCAAATAATTGCATTTTATAAATTATCCATTAAAATTATTTTTTTATTATTCAAACTTTATTTTTAATTTTTATCTAGATATTTTTCTATAAAATATTTATTTTATTAAAAATAAATAATTCAAGCACCTTTTTATATTTTAATTTTCTAAAAGTAGAAAATAAAATACGAAATGATCATATTTTAAAAAATTGAAAATTATTTTAAAAATTCTAAAAATAATAAATATAAATAATTTATTTTCCAAAATTAAACTCATCCTCAACTTTTATATCTAATGTATATTTTTCTCGAAAATTGTCTAAGCACCAAATGTTGACTTAAGTTATTATCATAACAAATATTCTGTTCATTAGGACAAAAAATTTCAAAACTCAGAATTGTATTCAATTTCTTTTAATTCACCAAACCACTTTAATTTAGACAATAGTAAGAATTTATATTTAAATTTTATTATTGGCTTATTTGTCTATAGTTATAACGATATAATCAGCATTATGTATTTAAGTTGGCTTAACAGACTTGCTAGTACACTTCTATAATTAATTTGATGTAATGAACTGTATAGAATGTTGATGAATTATATTATAGCTTGCGCCTAGTTTTAATGTTGACTGGAAAAATAAAATCATGTGAACCAAAGTTGTGTCTGTAAAATCGTCATATATAATTACATTTTAGTTCCTATATTAATGTTTGTTATATTTTGATCCCTCTTGTTATCACATTGTTAATTATGTTATAAGAAAAATTAAAATATAATAAAACACTTGTATAAAACTTAAAATATGTTTTTTTTTTAATTTTAGAGATTAATTTATAAGTGTCATAGCGACCAAATATGCATTTTAACAAGAAATAAACAAGAATTTTTAGTGGACTTGTTTAAAAATAATTAAAAAAGAGTTACCAATTGAAAAAATTATTTTTCAAAAAATTATAAATTTATATATTTGAAGCAAATATTATTATTTACAATCCAAGATTATTCATATTGATAGATAAATCTTTAATTAATTCGGTGAATAGATAGATAAATAAAACATATAATATAATTAATAAAATACTAAAAAATAATTTATTAAATTTTTATTTTTAGTGTAATAATATTTTAGTAAACAAATGATGTGATATAGTTGTTATCCATTATTACTTTATTATCCAAATATTAATTATATTTTATTCACAATATTATACGAAAATTTTCGAAAAGAATAATATCAATGGATAATTATTAAAATAAATATAAACTATTGATTTTTATTATTATATAATTATAAAATAATATTTTAGACATCATAATTATACATATACATATATATATATGGCCTTTTAATAGTTAAAAGAATCTTCACGTTAAAATAACTTTAGTAACCTACTAAATGCTAAAACAGTATTTAAATTTTAAATACTAATAATTCCGAAAATCCTAAAAAAACGAAAATAAAAATCATAAAACAAGTTGTCAAACTTGGCAAAACTAATTTGGGTTGACTTTTTGGCAGCTCATTTATCATGTAAACCAAACCAACTAGTTTTTTTTTTAAACTCATTTATTATGAAATTACAACGAGTCTAACTAATTTAAATCAAGCTAATCTTGTCTATATTATAATTAGCATTAGGATTAGAAACAAGTCAAACCAAAAATTTATTTTAATTCAAGTTTAACATAATAAAAATGAAATTCATATTTTTCGATCGAAGGTTTATTTTCTATAAAGTAAGCGTATGTATAAAATATAAAAAAATTATTTATTTATTATGAATTTAAACTAAAATATTTATAAATATATGATAGATCTTTTATTTTTTTTTACTTTACACATGTTTTCATTTTAGATATAAAATATTGTATTGAATATTTTTGCTTCAATTAATTAATCTCAATTTTATATTTTTGATGAAAAATATTTTTAACATATAATTAATCAAATTAAAAAAATATAATATATAGCAAATTATTATCGTTTTAGTTACACAACTCTTAAAACTAAATTTGAACATCCAAAAGTAATAAATTTTATTAAAAAGTAAAATATTTATCATATTAAAAATATAAATTTAATAATTTTTAATAAAATCTTACAATTATTAATTATTTAAACTCAATCTTAAAACATGAAGTTAACAAACTTAAATTAAAAATAATAAATAAATAAATTAAAATTTTAGATTATTCACAGAAAAGTATAGAAATTAACCAATACACATTAAAATAAATATGTACACACGAAGTACTCTATTAATTTTACATACTAGAAGTTAAAATATAATATGAAATTAAATAAAACATTGAAAAATGTTAAACTTTGAAAAAGAAAAATATTAATCAATATTAAGAAATCAAAATTAATTTTTTTTAAAAAAAAATAAATACACCGATAATTTTTAATGAATATTTTAAACAATATTGATTAATGATCAGGAAGACAGAAAGAAAAACTTAGAGAAAATGAAAGAGAAAAAAGAATAATAATAAAGAATTGAAGTGTGGGAAGTGCACGAGGTTTTGCAAACAAACACACTGCCAAGTCCTCAAACGTAAATAAATGGGAGTGTTAAGAGATTAGGTTGTTGTCACTCTCTTCTTCTTCTTGCGGCCTGCGGCTAGGGTTTTTCTCTCTTCTCTTCTCTTTCTATTTCCATCAACGTTCTTTCGCTATGGAACCTTCGCTCAGCTAAGCCCTTTCGGTGTTGCCTAGAACAACTAAAACTCACTCTTCTGTTTGCTTTTCTCTGTCCCCAAATGGCCACTGCCAACCCTTTCGATTTGTTGGGTGATGATGCCGAGGACCCGTCGCAGTTGATCGCCGCCGAGCAGATTAAAGCTGCCGCGGCGCCGAAGAAGGAACAGCCCAAGCCTGCCTCGCGTGCCGGCTCTGCTCAGCAGAACAAGCCGGCTCAGTTGCCTTCTAAGCCGCTCCCTCCCTCTCAGGCTGGTAAGTGACGCAAAGTTTGCGTTTTTTGCCTTTTTTAATTATTTGGGTTTGCAAAAGTCGTGGCTTTTGTTCGTGGGTTTTAAGGTTAATTAATAGGTTTTTTTTTAAAAAAAATTTGTTTTTGAGAAAATGTGGGTTTTGGCTTTTTTTTTTTTTGGCTTGTTATTTTGGTTGTTGCTTGTTGACTTGATGACTGTGATTTTTTGGAATGATGATGTAAATGTGCACGTGAGTGATTCTTTTTAAAATTTTGGGAGTGCCTGGTGCAATGTGTTGAACATGATTCTGGTATTGGCTCTGTTTGAAACGTAAAATATGTTCATGATTGGTTAAATCTTAGGTTTTTGTGTAGTTGGATCTCTTTGTTGAAAGGCACATAGTGCAATTTTTCTTTTACTGATTGTATGATTTGTTGGATTTTGCTATTGATTCGCTTGTTCTTATTTGCGATGTGATACTGCGTGATCAGAATTAGAAGATGAATTTGTTCCTTATTACTTTATTACTGTTAGTGTGTGTGTGTTGTGTCAGTTGAATTTATGTTGACATTTTTTTAAGCTGCTACTTTGATTCCTAAGTGGCTAGTGAGTTGTTGGTGCTGCCTATGCTTCTTTTTTCATATGTTTTGGTCTTACTGATAGTGAGGGAGGCAAAAAATGATGCTCCTCGTGGTGGCCGTGGAGGCAGCCGAGGAGGTGGACGTGGGCGTGGTCACGGTGGTAGTGGCTTTAACCGTGATTTTTCCAATGATGAGAACTCGTCAGCTCCTGCTAGCCAAGGTGCTTTTGAAGAAGGGGATACCGGCAATCCCTCAGAAAGACGCGGATATGGTGGACCTCGTGGTCCTTATCGTGGCGGTCGTCGTGGAGGTTTCAGCAATGGTGAAGCTGGTGAAGAGGGACGCCCTCGAAGAGCATTTGAACGCCGCAGTGGGACTGGACGAGGGTAACATTATATCACAACTGAATAAAATAATTTCTTTCTTTGAGTTATGTTTCTATAACAGTTGTTCTATTTGCAGAAGTGAAATCAAACGTGAAGGTTCTGGGCGTGGGAACTGGGGAACACAGACTGATGAAATTGCCCAGTAAGCAAATCCTTGTTTCATAATTTTAATAATAATGAAGTTCACATCATGATTCCCATAGAAAAGATTTTTGTTTTCAGTTAGTAGTTATTGTTTATATGCTTCTTATTTTAATATTGAATGTGCTTAGGGTGACTGAGGAAGTGGTGAATGAAACTGAAAAGAATTTGGGGGATGAGAAGCCTTCAGGAGAAGACGAAGCAGCTGATGGGAACAAGGACAGCCCTGCTAATGAAAATGAAGAAAAGGAGCCTGAGGATAAGGTTAATGACCAGCTCAATCAAAGCATTCTCCATTTATTCTGAATCTCTTGCCTGCATCCTTTAAATTTCGTGCTGTTCTTGATTGATGAGTGAGAAGACAAACTAGATGGCTTCTGAGTTTTGAATAAAAGACAGATAGTTAAACTAAGCTTCAGTTATCTGTTAAGTGCATCTCACTGGATGTTATGGGCTGCTTTATTTACTTGGTAGAAACACACACCCTCTCTTTTTACTGATGATGAACTGGTGTCTTCATCTGATATTAGTTTACCTTTTGAAAACGTTGGATTGTTTTAGTGGGTTATATTTTCAAACTATATTTTATTGGCTGTTGTGTATACATTGCTAAATGGAATTTTAACTGTGTGGTAGGAGATGACACTGGAAGAGTATGAGAAACTGTTGGAAGAAAAAAGGAAGGCCCTGCAGGGACTCAAGACTGAAGTGAGAAAGGTGGATACTAAGGAGTTTGAGACCATGCAGCCACTGTCAAACAAGAAAGACAATGATGAGATCTTCATTAAATTGGTGCGAATCTTTTGCCCCTCTTTTGTTCTTCTGATTTATTCTTGTTATGTGTCAATGATGCCCAATGATATTGTTTTTACACTTTAATTTTCTTTTCAGGGATCTGACAAGGATAAGCGCAAAGATGCTTTTGAGAAGGAGGAGAGATCCAAGAAGGTGTGACTTCATGACATTATTATTATTTTTTTAATTTCTGTCTTAATTTTCAAAATTACCTACCTCCAATATTCACATTTTTAAAGGTTATTAGTTGCTTTTAGTCTAACTTTTTTATCACTTTTCGTAGCCTAATGAACAGTTATTTAATAACTTATATTTCAAAGAACCAAATTTGAAATGTAAACTGTTTGCCTTTTACTACATATTTTTGTGATTTAAGGTATTCAGGGGGAATGCCATGCTATTTGATGCTACAGGTACAGAAAGAGGAAAAACAGGATGCAGTTGTTAAGTAACATTAAAATTGGTGTCATAGCTTTTATATCCAGAAGGAAACCATGGTTTTCTATTGTGCAATATAAGTTCCTTGAAATATTGTGTCTTTGTCTGGTCTCTTGATCTTTATCCTAATTGTTTTTTCTCGTGATTGCGTGGCAATTTAGATCAGTTATAGTGAAGAGGTTCTTATGCCAATATCCAACTTCACATTTCAACTGTTTTTTGTTTTTAAGAGGTTTAAATTGACCCCACAATGCCATACCTGGTTTTATAGATGTGTTGCCTTGTTTATCTGTACATTTACTTTTATTTCTATTGTGCTTTTTTGGTGCTGCAGCATTTACTAAATTCCTTTAGTAAACACTTTTAAAAGTTAGTTCTTATGTTAATTTTTGTAATTTAAAATGCTTTTATCCTACCCCGCCCAATTATTCTCTGAACTAGAGCAACTATAACTCAGAATTCAAATTGTCATTCAAGCTATGAAAACTTTATTTTGATAAATGGTTGTTTCCATGTGCTCCAGTTCTGTTGTGTTTATTCCCTCTTGTATCAGTTTGAATTTAATTATTGTTCTTGGCCCACTTGGTCTTGGCCTACTAGGTAGGGTATCTGATAATTTTCTGCTAACTATGTTCCTTTTGTTGGACTTCATATTCCTAGTCTGTCAGCATTAACGAGTTTCTGAAGCCTGCTGAAGGAGAAAGGTACTACAACCCTGGTGGTCGTGGTCGGGGACGCGGTCGTGGTTCCAGAGGAGGTTATGGCGGAAATGCAGGCAGCAATGTACTAGCTCCTTCGATTGAGGATCCTGGGCAATTCCCATCCTTGGGTTTTGGCAAGTGAGATTTTCCAAGAACCCTTCTGGCATTTCCCTGTCCTTTTTTAGTCAATTTTGGGTTCACTGATTTGGACTTGAGCAGGAAAAGAACTGTGGTGATTGGATTTCCTGAATTAGAAGGCTATTTAACTTTTATGCCTTAAAATGTAAATTTAGGTTGTTCTTCATACGGTCCTTGTAGCCTTTTCCTTGTTATGTTCTGCTGTCACTGTTGTTGACATTGGGGGGGTTATATGGTGGCGGATAAGACATAAATGTTGTTGAGTTTCGTTTTATTTATAGATTGAATTCTCAGTTTTGATTTGAAATTTGGGTCATACATCCTCTCTATTCTAGCCAGACCAAGTTAAATCCATGTTATTTGATTAATTGGTCTCAATTCAACCTTGGTTTTAATGGGTCTCTTTTTCTTCAACCAAAAGACGGGTTGCTTGATACCCTTTATTTAAAACCGGGTGCATAATATAAAATTGAATGGGATTGTTGTAATTATCTTGCCGATTTTCAAAGAACTATTATTTAAGAACATGAAGTTTGAAAATGAGTATTCATGTCAATAGAGCTGTGGCTCGACTTTTGGTGAGTCAATATTAAGATAAGGTTTTTCGTCACGCTATTTGACTTGGAAGTAAATTGATTCAGATACTTGTTTTTGACGTGTAAATTACATAAACATTTCATCACTCTCTTTAACGTTTGCGTGTACGCTTGATGTAGAGTTTATTTGTGTTGAGATTAACAAGTTTTTAAGACTTCCAACGACTTGTTTTGAAGGTGTCGTTGAATGGAGTATGCGAATGCATTGTATATTTTGAGGGAAGCTGAAAATTGTGCATCGTCTAACATTGAATGACAGAGAATTATGTTCTTTTAGTTCAAGTATTATATTTATTGGCTATTATACTAATTATATATAGTAATGCAATCAGGCAAGTTTAATTTATATTTTTTTAGTTTGTCAAACAAATTAAAAAAATATATTACATGTCTACTTAGTTATAGGACAGTTATTTAATATGAAAAAATGGTACACATTTTAATAAGTTTTTTTTTTAATCAAAATTTTATATTTTTAATTTTTAGATAGTTATAACTAAGACTTGACCACAAAAAAAAATAGTTATAATTAAGAATGTTAAATGGAGTATTATTATACATCAGAGGGTAAACTTGAAAAAAATTAATATTAAAATATAGATAAAATTTCTCAAATGAAAATAATTTATCTTCTTAAGCTTTAAATAAGTTAAATAACAGAATTACTAAACAATAGATAAACATAATTTGCTCTTAACTGAGTAAAATTTTATTTATTTTCTACACTAATTTTTTATAAAAATAATTTATAAATTTATCCAAATTGGATCATATGCACATGCTCAAATCTAAATAAAATTTAACAATTTTGAAAACAATTTAAACATAATAAAATAAAAATGAGAGTCACTTTCTCCTTGTTGAGAACCACGAAAAATAAAAATAAAAATCTTTTTTTCTCTTTTGGACTCTCAAGTCAAACTAAGAAAGCTAAAAAATGTGATAAAGTGAATAGTAATAGAAGGATGAGGGTGAGATAGTTATAGTTGACAAAGGTGACCAAGTAAAAGAGAAACAAGAGAGATAAGAACTAATTTTTCAAGAAATTATTGTGAGTTTTGGAATCACGTGGTCTCAACTACTTACATTTCTACACGTGTCAAAATGCTTGTATTCCAGGTTATTATTTAGTTTAAGATTATTATGGTTCGAGACCATGCAAAAATTTGTTCTCAAGAAATAGAATTGATGGTTCTAACTGACTGAAGTTTTAGCGTTGGGCCAAGAGTTAAAAGGACGAATTACACTCATGATCAATATGCAAAGAGATGACTTTTCAAAACATTAATCAATTCATTTGTTTCTGTTTATAAACAAACAAGAAAATAAACAAAGTGACGGCAACCCTTCATTTTGTTTATATAAAACATTAATCAATTTAATCCTAACTGTTTCTTGACAAAAAGAAAAAGCAAATTCTAACGGTTTAATTTATGTTTTATGAAGTTTTTGTATCCGTTATTTGATGTATATTTTGAAGTTATTGTGGCTGAAATATTAAGAACCATTAAATGTACCTTACTAAAAAATAGTTTAAATTATCATAAAATATGTGAATTGAATTTTTTTTTATAATTTTAAGATAAAATTTATTTTTATCTTCAATAAAACCCTTCTATATTTAACTTCACATGTACCCCTTGGACATATTAGAAACACCCTGAAATCAATTCTTATTCCTGTAATCACGTTCCACTACAAAATCTATGACTTGGATTAATTTGAGCGCACATTCCAATTTCGTTTAATAGTTCAAAATCAATTTTATCAAAAACCAATTCTATTAACTTCATAACAAACACAGATTCTAACATGGCAAATCCGGACCTACACTTAAAGGGCACAAGAAGCAAACAGAATTAGGCGAGTTCCATGCACTGCCTTTGTTTGCCGATTGCCATTATTACACATTGTCACCAACGTTTTGCTCTGTTGTTTCTATGACACTCATGGAATGGCAAGTAAAAAAAAACTGCTAGTTCATTGCAAAAATAAATGAGATGGAATATGGTTTTATCATTAACAAGTACTATACTTAGCACAAGCATATCATTCAAGTATATGTAAAGAATGGGATCATCTAGGCCAATTCCCAAACCAAAAAACAAATTATCAGACACTGGTCCACTATTTAGTGAAATAACAGACCTACATGCAAAGGGCAAGTGTAGACCAAGTGAAATGGATCTGAACACCATCTAGTTAGGATGAGCAACACCCACTTTTTTGACCAACGGGTTGCCCTCTGATCTGCACTGTTGGAGGCCTAGCATTATTCGCAGAAGGTTGGCTCGCCATTCTACATACACGATAAAGTTATCATCAAATATCGTTGCCAGAACAGAAAGTAAATGCTCAAATGTTAATTAGTCATATTTAACAAGAGTATAATTCGCAGGGATAAATAAATATAAAAACCAACCTTAGGGAACAGCTAGATGAAGGTTAAACTGATAAAGCACAATTTTTAAAGTTTAAAAGAAATTTGGAAAACTACATGTTACATGCCAATTATAATTCATGCATTATTTTTTTCGAGGGGCACCAATTTCACAAATCAACAGTCATTTAAACAATCTCTAGTAATGTATACTTCCCTAACATACATAATTCTTCTAAATGCACAAAAAGAATAAGAGAGAATAACTTTTAACATTTGTATTTCATCAAATAGACTTCAATTAAGGAATATTGGCATGCTAAAGTTCAATTTATTTCAGGAAGTAGGAAACTAATTATTGCCCGGGCTTTACTTCCAAGGAAGAAACCATAGATACATCAAGATAATAGTCAAATCATGTCATATCCGTAACTATGTTGGACAACTTCATGAACATTTCTAATGCTCCTAGCAACATTGTATAATTTTTTATACTTTACTTTTAAACTTTCATTCCAATATAGATGGGAATATCACAATATTCATATGAATTGAAGCATTTTATTATGTCTACAATGTCATGTGCTCATTTTTAAAACGTAGATTCCCTCTTGATTTAAGATTTGAGTATCATGTTAATTTTATATTAATTTATATGTTGTATTATAACCATTACGTATCTTGTACAACAACAACAATCAAGTCTTCTCTCATTAAGTGAAGTCGGCTACATGAATCACATGATGTTATTAGACTTAGTAAAAAATCAAGACTTCATGTATCTTAAAATTTTTAAAATTTGATTATCTCAGGTTCATGCCATATCATTTCAATGGCTTAATATAGTAGCTTCTGAAAAAGTTATATCATAAAAAAAAGAGCCTTTTGTTAAAGCTGAAACAGATGCATCCCAAATATAAGTGATTCTTTTAAATATCAGCCATTCAATAATAAACAGGAATGGATACCTGTTCTTGATGGAAGCAGACATGGCCATGAATGCCTCTTCAACATTTGTAGCATCTTTCGCACTTGTTTCCATGAAAGGAATGCCAATTTGATCTGCAAATTCCTGCAGCAAGGGAAAAAAAGGTGCATTGAGGTGTGCCGATGCAGGAACATGAATATTATCATTCCAATAGCTTTAAACATGAGCATGTGATATATGTAAAAGCTATACTTTAGCTGTATCATATGAGACAACTCTATTTGCAGTCAGATCACTCTTGTTTCCAACCAAAAGTTTGTTAACATTATCACTAGCATAGCGGTCAATTTCACTGAGCCACTGCTTCACATTGTTGAAGCTATCTTCATCTGTCACATCATAAACAATCTGCCAAAGGACCCAGTCAGTGGAGAAAGTAAGAAATCCCCCCGAACAGGGAAACTTCATATTTAAAATCTTATTTGTGCTAAGAAAATCATCACCCACAATGATTCCATGTGCTCCACGATAGTAGCTACTGGTTATTGTCCTAAATCGTTCTTGCCCAGCAGTATCCCACTACAAAGAACAGATTGTAAACCAAGTAAGGTAAGATCTGTCAATACAACCATGAATTCCAGTGACTCACATTGGCTAGGAACATAACTTCAAAAGGGTTGATGATCTCAAAAATTAATAGAGAGATGAACAATAACAAACACCTCAAAGGAAAAAAAATTAACCAACAAAAGATCAAAACAGATATCTCAAGCTTACTGAAAGTATAACATTAGCAAATAAAGAAGCAAAACAAAGCCAATCAGACACATAGTTACATACAATCTGTAGTTTAATTGTCTTCCCATCCTGCTCAACAGTGCGAATTTTCTGCACAGAATAACATGAAATGATCAGTTGAGATATAATTTCAAATGAGTTCAGGTTTAAAATGTGCAATGTTGTACTCACAAAATCAACTCCAATGGTGCTTATATAGCTCTCAATGTATGAATCATCCTGTAGCAAAACAGAGAAATTATCATAAATGTAAAAATGTAAAAAAATGTATTGATCATTAGTGTACCATCTCCAAGATGAACCAACATGCAGATTGAAGGTATTTATTTTTGTTAGAAGCTTACAAAATTACATAACCACACAAAATGACACTTGACACAAGCTTAGATAGATAACCTTCTGAACATAACATTTTCACCCAGAAACACCAATGAGAAAAGCAAGGGAAAAGAACCCAACAGGCTAGCTGAAAGTAATCCCCACCCCCAAAAATAACATAAAATAACCAAGAACAGAGAATAAGAAAGTAACTTTTTTTTATGTAAGATGTTATTGTTACCATTTTGAATAAAAGAATGACAAAAGAATAAACTATATAAATGAGTATAAAAAAATGGTAAGCCAGTGGAAGGAAAAGATACCCGAAGACAATATATGACACAACAAACAGTAGATAACTTACAGCAAATCTAAGAAGAAGGCATGATTTTCCAACACCGGAGTCTCCAATTAAAAGGAGCTTGAACAGATAATCACTGCAAAGAATAACCACCACAGAACACTAAGTTTCACACATAAAATAGACCAAGTGTTAGCCTTAGAAACTCACCTCAGAGACCAACTACAACCATTTCATACACACACACACACAAAAAAAAAAAAAAAAAAAAAAACATCATACATGTATCAAGACAAGAATAAAATACGTAAACTAACGGGTCTTAAAAGTTATCTATTAAGGCCATCATTTGCCACTTGTTCCGTTTAGTTACATTAAAAAATAAACACAAGACAAACACAAATTGATGCATTTAAATTAAAATTTTATGAGACATAAATTGATACATTAATATTTCAAGTCTATGAGACATGTGGCGTTATGAACAAATGTTATCCCCTGATTGTTAAGGGGAAACAGTATCATGATGATCCGTAACAGTAAGCATAGACCGATAGATTTATCATACTTTGATGATCTCCGCAATGAAATTGCAGGTCAAATCATTCAAACCATGAATCCATTTTATTGGTGATTCCGATCATTAGAAAATACAACCACCTTATTTTTCAATTCATTTAAATCATACACATATATTCAACACGCGTTATAAAAAATAGTGCATTTAAATTATAAATTAAAAGAAAAATCAGCCGGGTCATATAACATTTCATAAAGCTGATCCAATCTAGGGTTACTAAAAACGAAAAATCGAAACCCCCCCCCCCCAAACAACCCGTTTCAACGAATTGATCAAACCACAAATACCCTTTTGAAAAACGAAAACGGGAATCCAGAAAAGGAATCGAATTTACGCGATCGAACGAATTGAAAGGGGAGAATAAGAACGTACTACTCGGGATTCATGTCGGAGAAGCGAAAGGGAGCGTGAAGTTGCCGGAAAACGGTGGAATATCGCCGGAAAACGGTGGGATCCGGTGCTCCACGAACGGCACCAACGGAGTAGAAAAGTTTGAGGAGAATGAAAAAGGGGAATTTTTCTGTTTTTCGTTTCTTCTCTTTCTTTTGAATCAAAATCGTGTGGACTATACGGTGACGTATTATTGGCTTCTCATTTTGTTGGTTTGATGCTTGCGTTTGACCATTCACACATGGCAACCGTAGACCGTGGAGTGGTGGTCCCCACTAATTTAACCATGAGTTAAATTAGTATTCAAATCCTTTGCATTTCTTAACCAATTTCTCTTTCTCATTTTGGTATAACTGAGTTTTGGAAATGTAATTGCATAGAAAAAAATGTTACTATCATGATAATCTTATTTAACTTAATTAGCCAAACACTTAACATGATATTTGAATACTGAAATCTTTTTTAAAATTTCGAATTGTGAATATTTTAAATTTGAAGTGTTTTGAATTGTAAAAAGGAAAAATTCTTAACTGTATTTTTAGATTAAATATTTTATTTTTAGTACAAACATTAGATTGAAATTTTTATTCCAGAGTGAATGAAGATATTTTTTGAAAATATTCTAATACTTTTAAAATTATAGAATTTATAACTATAACTTTGGTTCTGAAAATGTTATTTATATAAGATTCAATAATGGACTTACTTTTAACAGAAAACTACTAAAATAAGGAGATAAATCTGCAGATTTGGAAATTTCAAAGATTATAACATGAAAATTAAAAATATTTAACCATTTCAAATGATCCGAAAAATCGTCCATTAACTGAAGACATATTTGAAGAGGAAGAACTTTATTTCCATTCAAAAAGTCCTCTCTCTACTTTTGTATTCAATTTTTAGATGAGGTCTAACATGATAGAGGACAAACAAAAGATGGATTATAAGAATGTAAGAAAAACTAAATTAGTTCATTACAAAATGGTGTCTAGATATCAATTTTTAGAATTGAAAAAAAACAAATATTTAAAAAACAAGTTTGATGAAGGTGAAAAGTGATAAGAAATAAAGTTAGAATGATAAATTGAAACTACAATTAGCAGGAAAGTATATTGAAACATTTGTACCAATGGCTAAATTTGAAGATAATAAAATGATGTTAGCATTTGCTACACAAAACAATACAAAGACTTTTCAAATGAATATTAAAACTTCCTGTTTTATTGAATAATTTTTTTTGAAACAACCACTTAATTTTAAAGATATTGCCTCTTCTAATCTTATTTTCATGTTTAAAAATGCTGTGCATGATTTGAAACAAGTTTTTAGATGTTCCTATAAAAGACAGTTATTTTTTTTCTTGTTTCAAATGGTTTTAAAAGAGAAAAAGTTGATAGACTCTTTTTCAAAAGATAATTATACTGAGATTTATTATATTTCAAATCTCCGTAAATGATATAATCTTTAGTATCACCGATGAATCTCTACGTGAAAAAATCTCTAAGCTAATCTAGAGTGAGCTTATGATGAGTGTGACAGAAGAGCTTTTTTTTTCTTAAACTAAAAATCAAACAAAAAGTAGAAGAAATCTTGACATTTGTTTGGATTAGTTGGTTGGTTCATCTCTTTTCTCTTATAAATACATTGTTGAACAATCATGTGAATAATCTTAATTCAATCAATTTCAAAGTTTCCTACGGATCCTCTTCTCTATTTCTACCTTTTGTATGTTACCATATCATCTTTTTCCAACATCTTAAAGTTCTGAGATGATATTACTCTCTGATCCTTCTGTGGAGAGCTTTGGTTCTGCAAAGAAAGATGATGAAGGAATGCAAGTTGCAATTGAAATTCCAGCTTTTGTGGAGGTAAAGCATCTTTGTGTTGGGGACCATTGATTGGGGGAAGATGAAAATTGTAAGGAAAAATCTGACCTCTATGAAGGGAAAGAAGAAAGTTATGAAAGATAAGCCAAAATCAAAGAATCAAGAAAAGCTCAGCTGTGATGATAGGCCTAATGAGAATGGTGCCATATTCAAGACTACAACTCTTATACCCTTCTTACCCATGGACCTATCCAAGAATATTTAAATATTTAGAACTACTAACCTCAGGTTTTTTATAAGAAAAATGAATATTTCAAGTTAGTAAGATATTGTAATACTGACTATGTTGTAGATTGAGTTAAAAAAAATGTACAAATGAAAGATTCTATTTCATTTTAGCAAATTTGATATCATAGTCTAGGAGAAAGCAAAGTTTCATTCTCTTTCAACACGGTAGCTGAGTATTGTCAATTTAATGCAAGCTAGTATTCACAACTACTAAAAAAACATCAACTAAAGAAATATTCGATCTTTAATCATCATACAGTTGGGTTATATGATAATACCACTTCTATGAGTCTATTTAAAATTTCTGTTTAGCATTCTAGGGCAAAATATATAGAAATTATACACCACTTCATAAAAAAAATGTTCAGAAAAATATTTTTTATGAATTAAATTTCATTGATTTTAAAAAACATTGAGCTAACATATTTACAAAAAAAAATATTTGATTTAAATTAAGTTTTAAAATTAATAATAAGAGATATAAAGAAAGTAAATATAAAATTTTGGTCTAAAACCTTCAATATGTTAATAAGATATTACTTATATTAAGTCCCTAAAATTTTTTATTTATATTTATTTATTTATAAAAAAAGATAAATTTATCGATTTTATTATTATCAATTTTTAGAAATAAGTTTAAGCATTTAAAATAAAAAATAAGTATTTATTATAATTTTATATTTCTAATATAATAACTTTTTTACTTAATTAGGTTGAAAATATTTCAAATATTCTCGACTCGTTAATCGGTGAATTTACGGCCAAATATCGGAAACTAGCTTGTAAATGATTTACAAAACATAAACCGGCGCCATGGAAGCTTGAACACCGTGCAAAGCACAATTTCGCGCATAAACATCATAAAAGAGAAACGCAAAGCCTTAAAAGATATAGAATCCAAACGGATAATTATAGACGCGGTCTCATCCTGCTACGCTAACACACGGCGGGATCACCGGTGACGGCAGAGGAGTGGGAGGAGGAGCGAGTGGATTCGGCCAATGAGTCTGGATCGGAGGAGAATGGCGGCGAGTGGAGACACAGATCCTCCTCCATTGTGCGTGACTGTTGATGCAGTGACTCAAGAAGTGCAAAAGATGCTTTCTTACTAGATACTGTTTAAAATATGTTAAAAGAAAATTATTTATAAATATTAATTTTAAATATTAAAATATTTAAATAACATAATAGTATTATAATAATAATAAACCGGATTTATTCGACTCGTTATTTAATGGAGAAAAGTTGAGGGCTGAACTAAAATAACAACAACAACCAAAATTTATTTTATTAGGTAGAATCAGATACATGATCATACGATTTTATTATGTTTGATTAAAAATTAAATTTTTAATTAAAATCTATATTTTAATAATTTTCTTAATATTCTTTTGAGTTTTTTTTATCTTTCTTTTATTGGACTAAAAATTATGTATTTTTTTTTTATTGTCACTTCTAAAAATATTTTCTGTACACAATTAAACTATTTTTTTTAGTAATTTTTTTTTACTATAGGTGTTATTTTAATATTTTTTTGTATATTATTATTTTATATTATGTTCTTTTTTTACTCCTAATTTTTTTTTATATTCCTTTAAAGCGATAGCTAATTGAATTATTGTATGATAAAATTTTTCGTTCAACTTAATAGGTATTCTATAATTACAAATAATTCATGAAACCTTTCTCCATTCTAACCATCTAGTTTGTATTGTGTAACTAACATTTTTATTAAATTTTCTATCATTTTGTATAATTAATCTCAAGAACTTGTGGTATAATATCATCTCTAAGTTTGACTTTTAACACATGATCCTTATCTCATTTTTTTGTTAAACCTACAATGCTTGTACTTTGTCTTACTTTTAATTAAGTGAAAATTCTTAGATTTTGAGGTCTCCATTCTTAACTTAAGTTTAATATTCATCTCCTCTTTCGAATATTTTGACTAACATTGAGGAATATTTTTTTGTATGTAATTTGTAACACATCTAAAACAAGAGCTCAAAACAAAACTTTGATATAAATGTATTCTAGTTAGGAAGTCCTTAAATATGTCTTTAGGAGTTCTCACATACGTAGTTACTCTTCCATACATGTTTTGTATAGTCTGAATATATATTACATTGATCCCTTTCTTTTTTGAAGTTTTCCATAGCACTTCTCTTGATACCTAATCATGTGCTTTTTTCAAGTAAATAAAAATAATGTGTAAGTTCTTTTACTAATAGTTTTTCAGCATCTTTTGTGAAAAATATATAACTTTTGTTGTGGACTTTCTTGTCATAAAACCATTAATTTTCTGCAATCTCAATTTCCTCTCTATCCTATGTTTAATCACATTTTTTCATAATGACTTATGAGTTTAATTCCTCTATAATTTACACAAATTTTATATATCAATTTTATTGTTATATATATGAACCAAAGTGTTCTTCCTCCATTTATACTTATATTTCAAAACTTTTCTAAAATTCTATAGAGATATTATCAAGACCTATCACTTTTAAATTTTACATATATTAAGAACTTCTTTTATAGTATGTCAAATTTAACTTATTAGTTTGGACTTTTAATCTTATTAAATTTTTCACTTACTCTTTGTCCTTTGTTAAAAAATTTATAGAAATATTATCTTTATCTGAAACCAAAACTTTTTCTTTTTCATCTTTAATACATATAACTTGATCTAAGATTTTAGATTTTTTCTTTATTTTTAGCAAGTTTATAAATTTTTATTTCTCCATATTTTATCTTAAAATCTCAATAAAACTCTTCAAAAGGATTAAATTTTAATAAAAATATTTTTAAAGACTTATCATAAAAATAATTCTTTTATAAAGATTAAAAACATAATTAAACTTATTTTTTTAAAAATAAATATTATTTTTAAATATTTAAAGTCAATGATAACATTGTAATAATGTATTAATAAATTAAAACATTGATAAAAAAAACTTGTTAACAAAGTGACAAGTGTAAAACAATTATCATAAATAAAAATTAACTCAAGAAAGTAACAAATTTGAAAAGCAAAATGATATATTTACTTTCTTGTTCATGAAAAACAAAACCCAAATGGAGGCTTGAAGTTAGGTTCTTCTCTGTTCTTCTGTGTGCTTAGCGCTGCCTCGGAACACCACCAATCATTTTTAACGGATAGGATAGAAAGAGAAGACTTCGAAAACTCTCACTCACTCTCAACACACAGAACCAAACATCACTTTAAAAAATGGCGACACTCTCCATCTCCACACCAACCTCTCTCTCATTCACTTCATCCTCCATCTTCTTCTCTTCACACGCCAAATTCAAATTCCCCATTCTACCCCTCAAAACAACCACTAATTCCCCAAAACCCCTTTCCCTCAAATGCAAAATCGCCACTATCCCAGTCCTCAATTTCACCGGCGAGAAAGTTGGTGAGTCTTTTCTCGACCTTAAATCCGCTCCGGCGGACACCGCGCGTGCCGTAGTTCACCGTGCCGTTATCACTGACCTCCAGAACAAACGGCGTGGCACGGCGTCTACGCTCACGCGCGGAGAAGTGCGGGGAGGCGGTAGAAAACCCTATCCTCAGAAGAAGACGGGCCGGGCCCGTCGTGGGTCGAATCGGACACCTCTCAGGCCCGGTGGAGGCGTAATTTTTGGGCCCAAGCCCAGGGACTGGAGCATAAAGATCAACCGGAAGGAGAAGAGGCTGGCGATATCGACGGCGATGGCGAGCGCCGCCGTGAACACTTTCGTGGTGGAGGATTTCGCGGCGGAGTTTGAGGAGAAGCCGAAGACGAGTGATTTCATCGCCGCCATGAAACGCTGGGGGCTTGACCCTAAGGAGAAGGCGATGTTCTTGATGATGGAAGTTCCGAAGAACGTGATGCTGTCGAGTAGGAACATTGGGACGTTGAAGGTTTTGACGCCGAGGACGCTGAATTTGTTTGATATTCTCAATGCTGATAAGCTCGTTCTTACACCTGGTGCAGTGGATTATTTGAACCAGAGGTATGGGGTTGATTACCAAGGAGATGATGATGATGATGAAGAAGAGGAAGAAGAAGAAGGTAAATGTTTAGTGTTGGTTTATTTTGATTTATGATTTGCGTTGCGTTAAGTTTTAATTTATAGTCATTTCATGTCTATGGTTGAATTCCATTATTGAGTTATTTTTTCTAATTGGTTTGGCATAATTTTTGTGGGGAATTTAATGACTTGTGGTTGTATATTGAGAAACATTTGATGAGATCAGTTTTGATGCGTGGCATTTCAGTAGTTATGTTGCTATTGGAAATTGGAAACTGAGATTTCTCATGTCTGCAATTTGAACTTTGTCACTACGAGTGATCGATTTGTGTGGTGGTGTTCATGTTTCTGCAGTATATAAATGCTGGAAAGACTGAAATTGTCTTCTTTTTCCAATATTCTTTTTTTATGTGTTTTACCTATTGAAAGCCATTGCTCACCCTTAGGTTTAGGTTACACTGAACTTGCTTCTGTGCACAATACATTGCCATTTCTTAACAAAATTATTCTCTTGGCTCATTTAAAAGATACGAAGTCAGTGTAGAAGTTCAGTGGAGTCACTTGTATATCAGTTTGAGAGTTGTTTGTGTGCATTCGACGTTCAAATCAGCAGTTGGCTTAAACCTTAAATGCACATTCATTCTCCAACGTAGGAATTGCTTATTATGTTTGTGGAAGAGCTTATGATGGTTTGAGAGAAAGGTTTCTGACCTTATTGCTTTCTATTTGGGATACAGGACCTGACACAGAGGATGGCGATGAGGTCAATTAAGGGTTTGAAGTTTTCTTTGTGTCATTTTATAGAGGAAATTGCTGATGCAGGGGATGGAAGGTTTGAAGTCTTATTTGTACCAATTTATATGTTTCTTTCTTTTCCATCATATAGGATCTTAATCCTGGCAGCGTGATTTGCCTTTGTCCCACTTACAATCATATTAGTTTGCAGGCTCCTTTGTGTAATTTATTGAATCAATTTTGTTGCTTGTAGTTCTTTTTGTGCAAATGCATATAAATGGATAAGTCAATTTTTTTGAATAAATTTTGTTGCATGTAGTACCTTTCTTAGGAAATTATTTTCTTTGAAGCTTGTGGAGGCTACTATTAGATTCACTCATTCATAGTGTATTGATAACTGGTACATCTTTTCCTGGACTGACTCTTGCCTATGCTTTCTTCAAATTTTTGTTCTGCTGCTGCTGGTGCTTGTGTATTGGTGAGATGAGTTAGTTTCCTTGCTGATAGGGTGTGAAAGTGGTGAGTTATTTTCAGTAACATCCTAATAGGTGGTGGTGGGTGGTTGGAGTTAATATTTTATTTCCATTTCTGATTTTCATGATTTTCTATATATTTTTTGTCAAAATTATAAACATTCTAAGATTAGCATGGCGTGTATTTCATTACTTCTGCATTTTGTCAATGTAGATTTGTAGGTGAACTTTGATCAATGGCATGATTTTTAACTTTGAAGATGGAAGGTCAAGATTAGTTTAGCCATTGATTAGTTTTCTTTCTCTAATGATGTCTCTACGACCTTTAAATCAATTATATAATGAATGTGGCAAAGGAGGTCTGCCATATCAGCCTTGGAATAGGTGAACAGATTGAACTGCCAGGTACTTTGTGATGTGGAGATTCAAGATGTATATTGGTAAACCTCGCATTGAATATGCAGTCTCATGCTGATCCTTTATGCTATAGGGAGCTTTTGTCTACTTATTCCCTGGTGGAAAAAGTTCCTTCTCCATTTCAATCATAAAATCTTTGTTCATTAATGAAATAGATTCCTTAACAGACACACCTAATGTGCAGAAGTGTTTTAAAGTGTACATTCGTGGATAAGTTGAATTTTCACAACTACTACGAGAAAATCGTTTGTATGCTACCATTAGACTCTTGCACTAAATTAATATTGATGTACTTCTTATCTAAAATGGGAGGCTCGTGGTTGAAAGCGAATCTTATCGATCGATATATTATATTAGTATACTTTGATAGTGTTAATATTATTCACAATTTTATCCAATGTTATCCGTTGACTTGAACCTTTACATTCTCTGGTTTTGTGTCTTGTTCAACTTAACAATTACTTATTTTTATTAACTTAATGAGAGAACTATTTAAAACTAACAGATTATTTCTTTAAATTTATGCAATATTAAACATGTACTTACACGTTGGACAGAATAACTGCTCAAAAGAGGATAACATAATTCTGCAACGCAGTGTTTAACGTCTTAATATTTGTTTGTTTAAAATTTTGGTAGAATTAATTTTGAACCGATGAATCAGATTGAAATATACTAAATGAATTCCAGTCACATACGTCACACAAAAATGTGGATCATGATATAAGAAATTGGTTTTTACTGTAAATTAAACAAACTCTTAAATTGAGAAGAGAGTTTTGGAAGGAGGGGACATTTTTTAATTTTAAATTAAAAAATTATATGTATTAAATTTATGTTAATATATCAATTTATATTTTTTATTTTAAAAAATATTAATTTAAATATATTTATTTAAAATACCAAAATTTTCTTCTCCGATACTCAATCACCTTCAGACAACTCCTTAACTACTTCACATAAAGCCTTCATTGCCTTTAAGTTGTAACTGTTCCATATTTGAGACAGTTTTGAACTAAGAGCAATTTATATTTTAGAGGTAGGCAAGTATGCTATTCGGGAGGGGAGTCAATGTCACTTTTGGACTAAAGTGAGTTTCTGGTAAAAGGATTTGACTTGTCAAAAAGAAAGGTACGTTTAGAGGATAAAATGTAGAGTTGTTGATTGGAAAATCAATACATGAGATTTTAATTTCATAATTTGTTATATTTTATTACCATCTTAATGTTTGTAAGTCTGTATTTTTTTTTTATAGTATGTTCTTCATTTTAAATTAGTCAAATTTTAAATAAAATATTAATATATTGTGAGTGCTCCTTTGGTCTAATGTAACTTTTTTTTTACTTCAACAACATTACTTAGCTTGTTGCCCAATTTAAGATTGTAGAAGAGAATGAACTTAAAATTGAATAGTTTATTTATATAAAAAGACTTGATAATTTATACTTATGACTTTCTTTCTTATATACCTTTTAAATTGTTAAATTAATAATGTGATACTTTTTTTTATCTAGCCCTTTTCTTATAAGTCTAACATTTGCAGATTTTGTTTTCTCTCCTTCTCTTTATCTTTATTATCTAGTGTTGTGTTCCTTTTCTTAAGTTTTATTTAGATTTTACAAGACTATTTTATTTTTTCATTCGGCTTTACCCCTTCTCCCTTTTTGTTAATTTTAAGCCTTTCATTTTTTTTGGCTTTAAGTTTTTTTTTCTTAAACTAAGCTATACTATAATAAAATTTGAGTGTTAATCCAATTTAAGATTGAAAGAGAAAATGAACTTATGCTTTGGTAACCAGTTTGTTTAAAATATTTTGACAATTTAGATCACGTTTTTTTTATTTATATACTCTTTAATTTTGTTATTACACTTATATTATTTAATCATGCAAATAACTTGTGGCTATGTAACTTTTTTCTATAATTCTACTAGCAGTTGCAGATTAGGTTTGATCTTTTATATTTATAGAATGAAATGAGTCGAAAGGTGGAACCAAATCATTAACAAATATATCTTATATATGATATGCTTAATAGCGGTCAATTTGAAAAATTCTAAAGTCTGTTCTAAGAAGCTACGATCTTGAAGTGCAATTAGTTAGCCATAAACAAAGTATGGTATTAAATGAGTAACAAAAGTAGGTGTCACATGCATATATATACGTACATATGAACATGTTATTTCTTTTATTACAGTAATTAGCTTGCATTGCCGCACTAATCTATATGCTACAACAATAATCATAGCTACGTGCATTGTCCTCCAACTCCAACTAGACGCAAAATTTGACAAAATGGTATTAAAATTTTGAGTTTATCTGTAGGACTTCATGTTTTTGGTGGCTGAGACTGATTAATAAACCCGTTTTTACCAACTCTTTATGGCTTGCTTGTAGTTCCAAATCATTATGAAGTATGAGAATTAAAATTTATAACATATTTGATTTATATGTTCTGTTAAAACTTATAAACCAAAAATTTACATATTATTTATAAATAATAATATATATGCACGAGAATAATATTTCATATTTAATTGGCTCAACGTGAATTTTGAGCTATTTAAATGATATTAATTATCTTTTATGTAAATGTGTCATGCTATTATTAGGTAGCTGTAAAATAAATAGAAAAAAAGAGATAAAATTTGCTACAAAATTGGATACAAAAAAAAAATAAAAATGTCGCTACATAAAGCTACAGAGTGCTGGAATTTAATGGTAAATTTCATCGTAGATCAGGAAATTTTGTGACAAACATAATTCTACACTAAAATAGAGAAAGATCACTTAAATTTAATAAAAGAACAAGAACCGGTGAATTTTTTTTATTTTGTCAAATGTATCATTAACATTTTGATTTTTTTTTTATCATCTTCCCAGGTTTTTGAGGCATCAAATGTATAGATTATATTAAAATAAGATGAGGTGATAAAATATTAATTCTTGTGAATTGTGAACAATTTTATAGATTTGATATTCTCTGAGACTTTTAAATGTAACCGTTGAATCAATAAAATTTACTTTTGATATGAAGTTATTTAATGTGTCATTTTACTAAAATTGATAGCTAATATCATTTGATCTTATCTTCATATATAAATATGGTTAAGGTTATACAACCCATTTTTATATATATGGCTCAAATTTGTTCCTCTTACTATAAGTTAAACATACTTTTTTCACTATATACATTTCTTATGTATACATATAGTATACATATAGCTTATGTATTTAATTAGGAAGTTATTTTCATACAAGAGTAAGAAGAGTAAATCTTGATCATATAATCATTCATAGATAGTGAATATTAAAAATTTTGTAATGTTACATGATATTTTAAAAGTTATATAATTTTTTAAAAATGTACACATGACATGGGTAAAAGATAAATTTATTAATGTTGATTCTAAATATTTATAAAACTAATTACACAAATTAAATCTTACATACATTAGCATATTGTCACTAATAAAGAAAAGTAAGTAAAAAAGAGAATAAAGAAAAGGATAAATTGAATAGTTAAAATGATATTACTAGTATAAAATTAAAGTTAAAAGTAAGATAGTTCAATGAATATAAAATAAAAAAGTTGAATATTAAAAAGAGTTAAAAAAAATATTTTTAGTAGTTCACCTTGTTGAATTTAATAGTTTTTGAGATAGGTTAGCTTAAGAAAAAGTAAGTGAAATTAATTGTTATTTATGTATATCAGATTGTCAACATAGGTGGCTCCTCCAATATTGAAAGCTTCAGGCAATGATGAATTGGCTTTAAAAGGAGGTGTTCTTGCAAGAAATATTTCAATCTTCAATTTAGTAGAAATTTAGTTAGAATGAGAGTATGACAATGTGTAGATTATATACATGAATCATAAGGATTCCTCTATTATATGAATTTTAGTTGATTTTATTTATTTGCACACATGATTTTGTAATCGTTTGATATGGAATTGTGTCCTTTATTTTTTATGGATAGTTGTGGCGTGTCTATAAAAGTTGTTTGTAAAAGATGTCAAAATATGACGTGTATGTGTGATGTTTGAGTTACTTTAGTTAGAGTTGAGGTAAGATTTATTTTAATTTTTCATGTGTCTGGTTGATCTTACTATTAATATGCAATCTAACTGTGATATGAGAAATGTATCTCTACAAAGGCACTTTCAAGTATACCAATAAAGTAATAATAATGAAATAATGTGTGTATATGGTGTAATAACTTCACATGACACCGTTAGTTAATTGTAACCTCATAAAGTTCTAAAAACCTTGATGGTAAAGGCTTCACCAATAGGCTATGTTCTCTGAAGGCATTAATAAATACTTAGACGGGGTTTGATATCCACAATCTTTTTAAGTGAGATTTTTAGAAATGTATTTCTTAGTAACTTGTTATCTATGTATATTTACTAAGCAACTTTCCCTGAAATCTTTTTATTTTCTCTCATTTTCATATTTGGTATTAAAAAATTTATTCAAGAATATTATTACTTTTACAAAAATATTTTTAACTTAAATAAAAGTCATATAAAGTTATGCAAATAATGACAACAAGTAAACCAACAAAAAAAAAAAAGAATGAGTAGAGCAGCGCAAATAATGGTAATTAAGAGAGGGAAATAAACAAAAATAAGAGCACATGTTTATTAAAGAGTAGGAACAGAATAACTATGGAAGATAGAACATGAGAGAGACGAGTGAAGTAGAAAGAAGAGAAAGTGCAAAAATGATTTAGAATTGATAAAGTAAAGTAGAATAAAAAAGTGCATTTTTATCCAAAAATTTTAGATTCCCAAAAAAGTTAAGGATACTCACTTATTGAGATAGGAAAATAAAAATTTAAATTTCTTCATAATTCAAGTTTCTCGAGAATCTCATATTCTTAAAAATATTTTTTTGTATCTTATACTAAACATGGGTAATAAAACTTTATAAATAACATTCTCGAAAAAGTTAAAAGATTTCAAATAACAAATATCCCCTTACGAGAGAAAGTAAGTAGTCTTTAAAAAATATATTTTAATTATTAATAATAAAAGGAAGATTAACAAGGAAAAAAACATAAGATTCTATAAGCAAACTTAATTATAGAAATATTTTGAATCATGCATCAAATTTATGAGACAAAAAGATGATTATGAGTATTAAATAATATATGACCGTCGAGTTAAATAATAGAGTTATTAATTAATTTTAAAAAGTCAACATTAAAGAACTCGTTTTAACTTTAAAAGTTCGTTAATTTTTTTTTTTTAAATTTAGAAGGGGTACAAGTTAGAATTAGATTAAAAAATTGATAGACAACATTGTTAAATAATTTAAAGACCTTAAATAAAAAAATTAAGTTTTAAAATCAATAAAATCATAATAAAAAGCAGAAGAAATATATGTATTTAAATTAGTTTATTTTAAAAATTGACCTTTTTTTAGTTTTATATTAAAAGATATTTAAAAAATAATTATTTCTTGAAAATTATTATTTCACAAACACGCGCGAAACTACCTTATTTATAATTTCTTTTTACTAACATGCCCCCCAAAAAATTGAATATATACCAAAATTATGAAAAAAGGTTTCACTCGAAATGGAAATGATGAAAAAATTTACAGCTTAAAATAAAAATAAAAATAAAAACCTGGACATAAATTTAGAACATTAGGTTCAAAAGAAAGTCTGAGCTAATAAAATTGTTTAAGACAAAGTCACTTAGCTCAATAATGAAGGCACGCCCACCTGTCCCATTCAGAACTGGTGAAAGAGCATCCAAAATTTAATGGAAGTGTTTGAAGCAAATGAACATTGTAAGCCTGAGCATGAACAATGTTTGTCATATATAGTACTGAAAAAATAAATAAAACATGATAACAACCATAAATATAAATACATGAAGGGATTGAAATCTTCTAAAGTCTTTTCTTCTAAAAAAATCTTAATTACATTTTAAAATCCATATTTTAATCTATCTATCTATATATATATATATATATATATATATATATATATATTCTTTTATTATAATTACTCACACTTATTTTTTATAATTTTTTGATTATAAAAATTAAGTCTGATATCTCAAATTCTGCTCAAATATATGTTGGGAATATATCAAAAATGTGATGTGACATTGATTATATAGGCCAAAATTTAAATTAAAATTTTCCAACTGTTGAAAGCGATTTTCTTATATCATCATATACAAGTTTAAATATAATAGAACATGCATGTATAAACCATTGGATGATAATTGTATTTCCTTCATGCAATTATTTTCCAGCTGTACATGATCTATTGGTCCTTGAAGTAGAGAGCTAATACGTACCTAGCCAATGCTTCCATTCAATTCTTTAGTTTGAAAGAGTTGCCATCTATTTTCTCAACCTTGCTTTTCTAGATTCATGTATATATATATTCATCAATTTATAATTATAATAGTGTAGTGTGGTCCTACAATGGTGGCTTCATCATTATGTGCAAGCTGTCAAATTCTCAACCTAATCCTACTTTTGATTTCAAAAGTAATGTTATTTCATGGGCTAAATGGCCAATAAGATAACATATCAATACATGAATATATATTGTTCATGCTTTAACAACTTATACCAAACAACTATGACTTTACAGCAAACCAAGGAATGCAGATTTATGAAGACATATAAATCAAACGTGAGGAACACTATAGCAAGTGATATATAGTTTAAATTTCTTTTTGTGCCTCTAGAGAATAGAAATGTTGTGTCGTCATTCTAAACTAATCTCCATATCATGATGTAAAGTATCTGAGTATTAGGTAGCAATAACTACCAAAAAATAATTCAAAATGTGTGAGAGGTGTAATATGTTGAAGCATGAGTGGTTTAGGTATACAATTGCTTCATCTACATGCTGCATCCTTTTGTGTGGATTGCTTTGACTTGCTTTGGTCATGTAGATGCACAAGTTTGCTAGTTTTTTCTGTTCAAGCTAAAATAAAAAGTGAATTCCTTGCTAGCCAACAAAAATATCTTGTTAGTTAATATGATTTTTTTTGGTTTCTTGTTGATGTGAATTTGACTTTTCTGTGGTAGGTACCTTATTTTAGAACCAAAGAGAACAGAGAATAAACATTTTCAATCGTCAATGAATAAAATTGAAGTAGACTTTCACAAAGGTCACTTTAAATGAATTTAAGCATAAGTTTTTGTAGAAACAAAAAGGGTTGATAAAATAAATAATTTTATGTTAAAATTAATTACATTAATACATATTTTAATTTAATTGGTGACATAAGTTTGAATTTTAATAAACGCAGTTAGATAGTTTTGTCGCCAGTAAATAAATTCAGTGAAAGATATTCTTCTATTTTTAGAATATATATATTTTTAAATTATGGGGTGTACAAGTTAATTTTAACTTATTAAAAAATTTATTTGTTTTATTACTTATTTTCTTCTTTTACTAGTATTTTTTATAAAAGGTTATTCAATTTGAGTTAAAGTCATAATTTTACCATTTTAACGGTCAAGTTTTCATTAAATGCAGAAATTTTTTACTTTTTTCTCTAAGATAAAATTTCATCAAATTCAATAATTTTATTACTCTTATCATATTTATTATTTTTTATGGGTAAGCATCACATTCAACGGATTTTTTTTTATCTTAGTTAAGCCTCTTCTTTGTCCCAAATTATAAATCCGGAGCCACAATAACACATTTAAATATTTAATGAGTAGGTGGAAATGTTATGAATGATGAATTTTTATAACCCACGTTTGTTTTCTTTGGTGAATTAAATATTTTAAATGTGTATTTTTGGAACCGAGTAAAAGTATAGTTGAACCTTTATGCGTAAGATATTAGACCATGAAAATATTCATATCCATCCACAAGCCTTCCACATGCAAGATTATATATAATAATTTGTAGCACACCTCAGTTGAACCATTTTTGGCCACTTTCGTTTGACCGGTTATGGTCACATACACCTAATGCTCCAAATGCTTGTCCAATTTGTTTAAACGATGCTTGGAAAAGAAGAAAAAAAATAGGAGAATATTGCGAAATGTGGAAGAACAAAGAACATGTTGACAATTCTTTGTTTCTGTCCTAGTTATTCCCTTCTCTAGAAACAATCTCTCATGACCATGAAATTAGTACTTGGAACCTCCTTAAAGTGTTAAACTACCCATCATAACATTCTTTTAATTATATAAAGAGTGAGAATGTGTTTGGGTAATCAATAACTTAGTTGATAAATTGCTATTATAAAATTTATAGTATAAATTTGATCATGGGTGTACATCGGATAAATTTCTAAATAGACATTTATAAGTCACTAAATGTTTTTAAAAAAATCAAACTTCTTTTATAAACAAAAATTGGTTTATACCCATAAATTTTAGAGAAAAAAATTCTAAAAAATAATATCTATGAATTGGTTTTAATTTATAGAAAAATATTTGTAAAATCTTCAAATTATACCATAAAATTTGTTATAATAATTTTTTTAGAAAATATTAACAAATTATACAAAAAAATAAATTATTTTTTAATAAACTCTTCATAGTTTCTTAAAACGTTTCCTTAAGTCAATTAAAAAAATATGGCTACCTCAATTTAAAGTTGGTAAGATGGTGATTGTAATCTAAAAGTTGATAGCAAGGTGACCACAAAAGTTTGTGTGAATCCACTTGGCGTTACTAAGACATGATGCCAATGCACAATCCACGATCTTTCCTTTAACGCTTGCCTTAATAATAGTTTGTGCGTTTTCTAATATAGAATATTTAGTTTGAACATTCAAAGAACAATTTCCTTCCAAAAACTTTTAGCATTTTGTGTTCTTATATGAAGATATTGGTTTTGATATTACTTATTGGATCGAGAGGTTATACAACAATAACAAGAAGTTATAATTATTAATTAGGACAAATGATTTTTTTCTTAAATTTATTAGCAACCACCAATATTGAACATTTTTTTAATAAATTTCAATTCATAATATTTAGTATTATCTTAAATTTTATTCATATTGTGTTAGATACATTGCGGGAATTTTGGATATTCCTATCTGGAAATACAAACAAAGATTATAGTAATACAATAATTATTATGACTAATGCAATCTTTGGAATACTAATGTTATTTTAATTTTAAATTGATATCTTATTGTTATTTTATACTACTTTAATATATGTGCAATAATTGACTGGGTAATGCCACTTGCCAATATGTGAAATGTACATTAGCAACCAAGTCAGAATTTATGGGAAAGAATCTCAATGCATTAGGTAGAGGCAGGCTTTAGAGGAGGGTGACAGGGTCAATAACTACTCACTATTTTATCCACAAGCCTAGAGAAGTTGGTGACATAGTAAAGTAAATGAAGGAGTTGGTATTATATATATGATCCTCCTTGCTTTGCATTTTATTGTCATTGGTTCAAGGTCTTCTGCTTACACAACCTTTCTTGTAAACTTTTTTGAGTCTTAGAATAGAAGAGGCTATAGACATGGCTAGAACAATTTTAGCTTCTTTCTTGGTTCTGATGTTGGCTTTTCCCACTGCATTTGGAACTGACTTTACTGTTGGTGATAGCGGTGGATGGACCCTAGGAACTGATTACAGCACATGGGCCGCTGGGAAATCCTTCAAAGTTGGTGATAATTTGGGTATGTTTCCTCTGTTTAACTCTTCAATTGCTTGTCTTTGTTTCTAGTGAAACATTGTTAAAAAAAATTATAGCACAGAAACTCAAGGAGCAAATTAAGGGTCTTGTTCTTTCCCTGAGTTTAATCATGAAAAGGTTGTAGTAATATGATAATCCATTATGTAGTTTCACATGATTTTATTTTTAGGCACGGTTTTGTAATGGGAAAAATTTTAATTTATGCACTGTTGGAAATTGGAATCTTCTTTTACCTGTTATATTATGATGTCTATGTGATTTTGTTACATAAGTTATGTCTTCCTATTGTTATAGAACACGCAGTAAACATTGATCTCACTGTTTTTCCTTTTTGGTCTAAAACTCATGTCTTCATAAAGCAAATGGTATCTAAGATTATAAATGATATAGTTTGATCATAAACTGCAGATTTTTATGCATTCCATGGCAGCTAACTAAATTGTCATTTGTTGAAAAACAGTGTTCAATTATGACTCCAACCATGCATTGGATGAGGTTAATGCGAATGGCTACAACGGCTGCAGTTCAAGCAATTCCATAAAGAGCTACCAAGATGGAAACACCAAAATTGCGTTGTCTTCACCAGGCAAAAGGTACTTCTTGTGCCCCAAACCAGGTCACTGTTCTGGAGGCATGAAGCTTGAAGTCAATGTAGTTGCTGCTAGTAGCACCCCACCAACCACCCCAAGTGGTTCTCCTCCTACCACCCCATCAACTGCTTCTCCTCCTTCTGAGTCTGGCACCCCTGCAACCAGCACTACTCCACCATCACCAAAGCCTAATGGAGCAAACACTGTTTCTAGTGCCATTAGTCTTTTGGTGGGGTCTTTCTTTGTGTCAGCAATTATGTTTGGTTTCATGGGCTAGGGAAGAGACAGTGCTGTTTACTCTTATTAATATGTTCCCGTTTTGTTTCAATTTGTGTGAATTTCATTTAATTTGAGATGTATATCTTGATCTTGATATGTATCACCCTTTAATAAGGAAAAAAAAAAAACATTTCTTTGACCATTTTCTCCTTCTTTTGATACCTTGTATGATGTTGACACTAGATATATACAATCTCTTGCTTCATTTGGGTTGGCAATAATTGACCTTGAAATAAAATTAGAGTTCACCCCATCTTCTAATGCATTGTGTAATTTACTTGCAATTACAAACACAACTGGCATAACATATAACAATTATCATTTAATTATAATATATAGATTTGGCCAACCACTACGATCCGTTACCATATGCTTATCACTTAAATTTAAAACAACTGCCTCAGCGTTGAATTATTGATCATTATTCTTTGATAAAATTATTTATTGGCAGAAGCTTAATACAATAATATATTGTATTAATGAATGATACTGCAAAATAAAAATTGCCATTAATCAATGCATCGTTAAAAAGGTATGTTGCAGCGCCTTCATGTTATGTGTGCAAGAAAGACAGTTTGGGAATTTAAAATATGAGACAACTGGATGGATTAGTTAGGTCTGGTCAAATGGTTTACTTCAATCGAACAATAGATTAAAGTGTGGTTAACAAGAATCTAACAGGGAAATTGGATTTTAAAAGGGCATAATTTGTATTAGTTTTTAGGTTATGAAACTTTTTAATAAATTTTTGTTGTTGTTAAGACTTTTTTAAAGTACAAATGCCATGCTTCATTAAGTCTGAAGGTTTATAAATTAATTTTAATGTATAAAAAAAGTTTACTTTGTTTATATTTCCTATAACGGTTATCTAAATTAATTTAAAGTCAATATATTCCTCCAAATTATTAGGGGCTGTTGATCTATAGCCTCATTTGCACCGGTCTTAAATCAAGTTAAGTTTTTTTTTGGTCATAGATTCATAAATAAAATGATTAATAATGGTTACATTCAAAATATGTTAAATAGCAAGAAAGCATTATAATAATGCACAACAAATACGCAGAGGAAAACTAAGCATGGATGCTAAAAAATTAAACACAAATTAGCAATCTTATAAACTCTAAATCAAGTAAAATAGAAAAGAAATCATACTTTCCTTGACAAAAATCTCAATTACAAAATAACTCTTCTTGTTTTTTTTTTAAATTTTTTTTTTATCTTTTTTCATTCCTTCTAAAATAGCAAAAGCCTAACAACAAGTGAGATGAACAAGAGTAAAAAATATTAATCAAAGTAGCACCTTGAATTATTATCTATCAACAAAAGTTATTGGTGGAATTGATTGTTCACAATGGATTTATCAGTGTCGCCTAATAAAGCTCTAACTAATTACATGAATATAGAAAAAAATTCAAAAATCATATAATTTGACAAAAAAAATTAGCATAAGATTCCTTTTTGACAACTCTGGTGAAATCAAAAAATATGGAGCGACAAGATTCTGAGAAGCGATCCATAGAGGAGAGGAGGGAAATCTACAGGATCGAAACATCAAGAAAGTGAATACTGGTGATGAGGTACTTATGGAAGTGCAGATTGTCTGCATGCATGATGAGGCAAAGGCTTGATCTCCAAAATCAAAGCATGTGTTTTCTAAAAAACTATTGTTATGTCCTATTCATATAAAGAAAAATTTTTAGAAACAAAAGAGATGGATCTTGTTCTTAATAATAAAAAGTTTGTTAAAACTGTTTGGGATGATTTAAACATCATAACTGAAGTTGATCACTATGATGAAATAGATAACAATTCCGAAAATTTGTGTCCTGAATTTACGGTTCCTCTAGATGATTATGAGGAGTGGTGCTTCCCCTAGAAATACACTCTCATCATTAAGCTTTTAGGTAAAACTATAAGTTTTAGTTTCATAAACTAGAAGTTAGGTACGATTTGGGGAAGAAATGACCCATTAAAAATTCTAAACCTTAATAATGACTTTTATCTTGTAAAATTTGAAAGCACAAAGGATTACAAATATACCTTTTTTGAAAGGTCATGGCTCATTCTTGACCACTATCTGTTAGTTCAGAGGTGGATACCTCTGTTTAGAACCATCGATTACAGCCTAGGAAAGATAGTTATTTGGGTCAGGATCTGTGATCTCCCCTTATAACTATACAATAATAAATTCCTATAGTAGATTAGAAGCTATTTGGGGTCATTGTTGAAAGTTGATCCCCATACCTCAATATGTATAAAAATTGATCTAAGGAAGAAATTATATTGGGTCTAGATTTGATGTTCCTGAAAATAATGTGTAGGATCTTAACCAAGCTTTAGAATCTAAGACCTTAAAAAGAAAAGATCCCACCCAAAATAAGGAATATGTTCCTAAGATCCATATTACTCATAAACTGCTTTCTAAAGCCTCTAGTAGCCCTAAGATAAGTGAGTTTACCAGGAGAAATAGCAAAAGTACCTCTAAGAGTGGTAAAATGAGTGTTGGGAAAATGGTCAACCAAATTCCTGAGTCTGTTAACAACCCCTGTAGTAACTTAGAGCATCAAAAAGAGTCTATAAATCAGAAAAGTAAAGATATATTCCCGTTAATGAAAAGTCTTCAAAATGCTATCCAAAATAAAGCCAAAGTCATTTACTTACTAATAGGCCTCCAGACTTAGTTTCCTTCATCAACCTAAGAAATCCAAGTAATGCATCATCTAGAAATCCTAAAATGAACCCACTTGTGAATAGTCACTTAGGCACTTCCCAACATCTCAAAGATGCAATAACCCTTAATGAATTTCTTTTATGAATTGTTTTTTTTTTAATTGTAAGGGTGCTGGAAATTGGACTTTTCATAGAATGATTAATAATCTAATCCATATTTATAATCTTGATTTTATTACCTTTTTTAAACCTAGAATCAATTCAGATAATACTGATAAAGTGATTAGGAAATTGAACCTAGATAGTTCAACCATGATGGATGCTATTAGGTTTTCTAGGGAGTATTTGGTGTTGCTAGAGCTCTAAAAAAGTCAAACTCTCCTTTATAAATAAAAATAAGTACTTAATTTATTTTAATGTTAGTATAGGTAATAAAGAGTGGATCTTGTCCTCTGTCCATGCTAGCCCTCAAGAGGGGCTAAGAGTTGAGTGTTGGAAGCTCTTATTTGATTTCAGTTCTACTATCAATAAACCCTGGGTTGTAACAGGAGATTTTAATTTTACTTTTTATGAAAAGAAGGGGTAGACCAATCAACTTGAGCCTCATCAAACAATTTGCTGATTGCCTGGATTATTGTAGCTTGCAGGATTTAGGGTTTAAATGTAACCTTTTTACTTGAAATAATGGTAAAATTAAGGAAAGACTTAACAGAGTTATTGTAAATGACTTCTCGAGGTTGTTGTTCCAAAATTCCCTTATACATCTCCTACTCCAAAAATCTGATCATAATGGCCTCCGACTTAAGGTTAGAGATAAGGATAACTTTTATACCCCTTCCAAGTCTTTTAAGTTCCTTGCTCCTTGGCTTTCTCATAGTGACTTCCCTAGTCAAGTTAGAAATTCTCTAACGAGATCTTGGACTAATAACATTTCCAATTTCCAAAAGGTCATAAATACTAGGAATTTTGAGGATTTTTGATGATATTTTTAAAAGGAAGAAAAGGCTTTTAAATAGGATTAGAGGTATTTCCTATAAATTAAGCTTGAGTAATAATTCATTCTTTTCTAAATTAATATATTCCTTATGAGTAGAATACCAAACAATTCTTGACCATGAAGCAGTCTTTTGGTACCAACACTATAAAGCCAATTGGTTCAAATTAGGAGATAGAAACAACACCTTTTTGTATTAAAGCTCTAAAGGAAAATATAGGAAACTAAGAATATGATCCTATTAAATTAAGTACCCTGGCGGTTAACTATTTTAAAAACATGTATGCTGATCATATGCCTAATGGCCCTTTCCTTTGCTCGGTTTCAACTTTTCCCCCCTTAGAGGAGTATGTAATAGCTAGTCTGAATTTTGAATTAATCATGCATGAAATTAAGTCAACTTTATTTAGTATAAGGAACCTTAAGTCCCTTAGTTCAGATAGGCTTCATGCCTTATTTTTCAAAATTCAATGAGATTTTTAACTCCCTTTATTTTTAACTAGATGCTCCCCACGACTGATGCGACGTTCAATCATTTAAGCTAGTTTTGGTGTTTATTAAGATACACCAGTTTGTCAAATGAATTTAGTTGGATTTGTAAATGTCTTATACTTGAGTACTGACATTTGAGGGCGGTGATCTGGAAGCCATTCCAAAGAAGGTTAGTCCAATGACTGACTTCTGCATCAGGTACCCAAACCTGATAAGGAAAGACATGAAAATGAATTATTCCAGGTATTTGTTTGACAAACTGTTGTATCTTAAGACCATCAAATGGCACAAGATTTTTTAAAATCTTATTTATTTATTAGTATCTATAAAACTAATAATAGCTACCGACGGTCTGACCAAGGAACTCTGTATAGGAGCATACCTCGTAGCCAAACAGGTAATTCAGTTAAACCGACGATCTGGCCCTCTGTTTACTGCTTTCTATCTAAAACAAGCAGCTACTTGCTTACAGCAAGCGTATGCAGGGGTCAGTCAGTCGCACAGTTTATTACCTGTGCCAGTGTCTCTGACGAGGTCAGGATACAGATTATACCTTCCTTCCATCGCAAAATGATTATGAAGAAGGATCAGAAGGTTGACTTATGGGTTCATATATATTTGTCTTTAGTCTTTGTCAGGCTATTCACTTAGATTGATAGATCGATATTGAAATCGATAGTCACCCCTTCCACCCGTCTGTCAAGATAGTCTCCACTAATAAATGATATTGTTGCTTTATCTAAAGACCTTAACTTTGTTTCTAATATTTTTGTGAATCCCTCAAACATTGCCACTGTTAATGAGACCTCAATAACCCTTATTCCTAAATCTGAAAACTCTAAATCTCTAAAAAAATTTAGACCTATTTCCTGTGTAATGTTAATTACAAAATTATAACCAAATTGCTAGCTAATAAATTAAGGATTTCCATGCCCTCTTTCATATTTGCCAACCAAACTAGCTTCATTTAGGGTAGGCGGAGG